TGCTTATTTCCGTAATGGACGAAACAAGAAGTGAACTGAGATGAACAGATCATATAGCGGCAGAATTAGAAAGGTTATATATAGAACTCTACATCTCAAAGAAAGACGCAACCATTAGAACACAAGAATATATTAAAATTGGTAACACTACCAGAAATAAAATTATTAAATACAGGCTGCGCTGTGCCAATTAATAAATAATAAATCACACGGACCTGACAAAATGCTTGCTGAAGTGCTTAAAAGGAAAGAAAAAAGGAAATCATGCAGCTATAAAGAATATTTTTAACCGATGCCTGCACAACGGTATACCTGAAGAATGGGATGAAAGCCTCAATTATATTGTTTAAAAAATGCGACAAACAGGACTTTTTTCAGGCGTGTCACATTGTCGCAAACTTATAAACTATTTACATTAATAATTCAAAAACGGCTGACAAATAACATATGTAGACTCAAATCAACCAGTGGAACAGGCAAGAACTGATCATCTCCTAACAAGCAGGAGAAATTAGAAAGACCTAACGAATATGAGCTAGAAATGTACTTAGCGCTCATTGATTATGAAAAAGCCTTCGATAGCGTTGATATGTGGGTAATAGAAAAACAAATTAATAATTGTAGAATAGACTCATTTCTGCTAAATAGCTCACATTGGCAGTGGAAGACGTTTTCAGAACAATGGATTGGAAAAACATTGGGATAAATATAAATTGAAAGAAACTGAACCACTTCAGATATGCAGATGACGTAGTGGTAATAGCATCGGTTTTTGAAGAACTGAAAACTGTGTTAACTGAACCGGGAACAATAGAATCTGAAAAAGTAGGTCTAAAAATCAATTACATCAAAATAAAGATAATGGCAAGCGCAAGAAAATAGAAACAGTGCTTGCTTCCAATTCTTACGTGTTTGTCAAACATGGACCCTTGCTAGAGTCAACTTCTGATAAAATAGAGAAAACGCACAGATCCATGGAGCGATCAGGGATTAAATTGTAACGTAAAACACAAAATAACGGGATAAGAAGCAACACAAAAGTCAAAGATGCGGGCCAGCATATAACCAGGCTAAAGTGGGACTTACGCAGGCCATAATGCACAGATAGACGAATACTGGTGGAATACCATGATACAACAATGGAGACCATGAACTGGAAAGAGAGCAAGAGGACGACCCCAAATGACGAGGACGAGGAAATGATGAGGATAAGGAGTCGACATAAAGAGGACAGGATTACATTAGAAATGAGTGGCACAAAACAGAAACGAGTGAAACAAACTAGTGAAAGCGTATGTCCAAGGATGGATCAATTAAAGCCTGAAAGAAGAAAGAGAAGAAAGAAGAAGGCTCCACAATCTCTTAACAGTTAATTGTACTTTTTAATTTTTTTGGGTTAATTTCATTTATATTATATCAGGCCTGAGTAATTCTGTGTTGAGTTGCGCTTTTGAGTAGATGCCGCTCTGTAAGTTGGTGAGTTATACTCATCGCGCCTCACTGTGCCGCATTTCGATTTGTGCTTGTGGCGGAATAATTCTTGAAATCAGAACTTTTAAAGGACATTTTAAATTTTTTAGACTTTAAAAAGACACTTAAGTAGTTGAAAGTTCGTTGGTTTCTAGCATAGCTCGGAAATTGATCAACAGTTTGATTTTTAAGTGATTTCTTCGCAATTTTTTTGTTTAGTCAATATTTTCAGCAAAACAAAACTAATTCGGTTATTAATTTTAGTTTTGGCGTTGTGCATTAATAACCGCAGCTGAGTGAAATTCAGCCAAATATAAATGGCTCTAAATTTAAAATTAAATTAGTCATCGACGCTTGGCGCGTTTTCTGCTTAATTGTTGTTGACTTTTGTTAAGTTGGAACTTGAAATTTGTTTTTGCAAGTTTGGCAATGCGAACAGGCACTTTACGTACAAAAATATCAACAATACTCAAACTGAAATCGAACTACCAAGCAAGAGTATAACAATCAATCATGCAAAGAGCAAATATGCTAATGATTAAGTAATCATGTTTATTCTGTACTTGTGTATTTTTTCCGAAAAGGTGTGCCGAAAAAAAGCGGATAAGAATGATTTATTATCTATAAATAATCGTTTAGCTTGAACTAAGTTTAGTTTTCCGACAAGCAACTGAAGTTTTATGGATTCTTTATATTTCTCTCTCTTTGCTTTGCTGATTTCTCTCCTCTTCTTCTGTTGGACATTTCAAAAATATTTTCAATTTAAACTTTCGAAAAAACACTTCCATCATTATGTCCGTATAATATTATTTCGCATCAGTGTACAGTTCTTTTGGAAAGGGATTTCAAAGTGTTAAAGGGTTTACTTCAACTTAATAACGATAGCTTAGAGTTCCTACTATGGGTGGGCTGAAAGGGATTTGTTATGTACAATCCGGAAGAGCTGATAAAGTTGGGATCGTTCGTTTCTGGGGGACACAAGCTTACATAATATCTCCTACAGCGAGTTAGTATTATCGAACAACCAAGTAGGTGCAAGTGCTAATACAAATAAACCCTATTCAGTTTAGAATTATATAGGGTTATTCAAATATTTCGCATGAAATGCAAGTGATGGTTGAATTTTTGTATGTTGAAACACGCAACTTTATTGAATGTTCATATTTTGGTGATTTATATATTTCTCTTTAGGCGCGTTCCCTGATTGCCGTTTGTATTAGGTATTTATTTAAAGCAACATAATTTCACTCGACTCAGTCTTGTTCGTATTTTTAGAGGCAAATTGCTTTAAATTGTGTTTTTAATTTAAATGTGTATACACACGGTAGCAATGGTTAAACATGTACCCGAATGATTAGTATTGTAAATGTTAATGTAAATCTAAAATTTAGTGAAGTTTTGGAACTAGAAGCTGAAGCAAAGTGACACTTTCAGCTTGATGAAAAGTACGCAGTCTAAACAATGTAGTACTAAAATAGAAGGGCAGAAATACCCAACAATAAGCATTTACATAAGAAATAAAACGTTCAAACTCGCAACATGCACGATACTTATATAAAATGAATGCCCTTCGTTTGATCTCCTTATTTGATAATTTTTGCCAAATTGCGACATTGCATTAACATTTCGTGATACGTATCACATTTATGCACCGAATTTACGAATTATTTTAAGGATAATTGCGCTTTTCCATAAGAGTTCGTGGTTTCATATTTAACAAATGCCTGAATAACAAATTGGGCTTGTGTTCTGAGTGAAACAAAAAAAAATCTAACATGGAAGGTTTTCTCCATGAAACTGAATATATAGGGTGCGCCAATGAAAATGTCCAGGTCCAAAGTTTCAGTTTTTGTGAAAAAATACCGAAAACGAGTTTAAAGGTTTAGTTACTAAATTAATAGGGATAAATAACTTAATAACAGCCAAGACGTGTTTGTAAATGGCAAATTTAAAATGGTATTCTGAATTTACACAGCTAAAGTTTAGACATACTTTATTTTTGTGATAAAACAGCAAAAGCGTTGACAAAACGATTATTCTCATTCAGAGTTTTTTCCAGTTTGAAGCCACATACATTAAAATTGCAAAAATCGAAAAATTTTATAGAATAATAGCAGGTTTTTTTTTCATTCAAAGTGTCAAGAAAATATTTTCAAATTGCGTTCAACATTCTTATCGCCAATTTGCCAGTTTGAGTCCCCGCATCTATTAGATCAATAGTTTTATTAATTGGGCCGTAAATCGAGGTTTAATTATGGTTTTCACTATAACTAAGCGAGTTGAGTTTGTTTTTATTTTACTTAAAAAATGTAACTTTGCAAGGCAAGCCGAACGTTTAGGATAACGAAATACTTCCGGGCAAAAATGTTTTACTTACTTTTTTACAAAACAGATGAACAGTTGAGAAATAACAACGTACCCCAAAAGGCAATTTAACCCGTGAGATGAATCCGACATTACTTTAAGAAATAAACTAAGATCGTTAAAATGACAATTTGTTAGAAAAGAATGTGCTTTTTCTTCAAGATGGAGCTTTAACGCATAATGCATCAGTTCATCAATTCCTAAATTCCACTTTACGAGAGAGATCATCAGATTTTCCAATTATTGAGTGGTCTGAATGATACTTCTTGCCTAAACTTTTCAAGCCAACTTCTCTACAAGATCGCATAACGGTACAGTTGCCGATATCTTGAAGAATATACTCGTAAAAGACCATATAGAGAGCTGATTTTATTATTGTATGGATGTTAATGGAGAATGTTTTGAACAGTTCATTAGATAGACTTTAGGTAAATAAGGATTTAATTAGGCTGCAGTGTTGTAAGAGACAAAGTGAAATATCGTAAATCTAGCACGCATGCATGCGGTTCTGTGCGGGTTGTGTTCAATGCAAAACTTCTGTTTGTTCTGTTTGAACTTGTTAATTAATTTTCCATTACAAATCAATGGAAATTATTGGAACTACTTCAAATGGACAGACTCATCCCCCTGTTCTAATGGGAATTTTAGAGTTTATTGTCCTATTGTGGAAACTTTTGGTTCGTCCACTCTGTATACACTGATTCGTTCAAACTATATGTACGTGGAAATCGAATTTTTGTAAATAAAACATCTCGTTACATTTGAGCAAATTAAATTATTCATTATGTAGCATTTATTGCGTAGGTAAAAGTTAGTTAATGAAATATCTGTACATTTGTTACACATGTTCAATAATTTTTTTGAAAAATATGAACACCGAAGAAGCGTTCCGATAAGCTCTAAATAATTCGATTGTGGCTTTTCAGCCAGACATTTTCTCTTTGATTTAATTAAGTTCATTTCATATTTTTCTGTTTTAATATTATTTTTAAATTGACTGCGGACACTCAGTGGATTAGTTTTCACTAGTCTGTTTACGCCCATTATTAGAAAATTTGGAATAAGTACGATAGTTATAGAAAAAGTTTGGGTGTTTAAAAAATGCGAATGTATGTTCAAAAAATTATTTTTTTGTTCTTCAACTAATTGCTTTTAATGGTTTTCAGGTGAATTGAGGCCTTGAGTGCTAATTGCTGTTAATCAACGGTAAGTACTATTTATAATATATAAGAAATAAATATGTTGGTGAGTAGTTTTTTTACGTTTGATGGCAGGCTAAATAATTGAAAAAACGAGCAAATAAATACTGTTTCATATGCTTTTAATAAGGTTAAACAAGATTGCATCGCTCTAATCACGTGCGTTTTCCTCCTAAGATTTCCATCGTTAAAAGCTATTTTATTTGAGCGTGCAGCTAGTTTGCTATCAAAATGAAAAATGATCCAATTTGAAGTCCATGTTCGGATATTTGCGAGTGGAAACTTTCTCATAAATAAATTAAATAATGTTGTTGGTATTGACCCTATATCCGGTATGTGGATCCGATAGGTAGAACATTACCCTATTTATTATTATTATTATTATTATATATTTAAATATTTTTTTGTCGCGCTACTAGAAAATTAATAGCTAGGCTTATTTCAATTATTTGTTACAGTTTTCTATTAAGTAGTTTCCACATCTGTATCTATTTAATGGGAAGGCAAAATTCAATAGGTAGATCTTTATACTCATACGAAGATTTTTGCCAATTTTCTTTCAAACATGATGATGTATAAGCTTCGGATGACAAACAAAAGTTGTAAAAAAATTACCGAGTTTCCCACTTTTCAATTATTTTGATTCTGCTCTAAGTTCTATGTCACAGTTTTCTCGTTTGTTCGAAAATCAAGAATTATTACTATTTTCATTAATTAAATACATTTTGTCGGTAAATGTGTAAAACTATTGTTAATTAAAGACTGTCTAATATATGTACGTTCTAAATTGAAATTGAACTTTAATCGAAATCCATTAAATCAATGTATTTCACTTTTAAAAATAATAAACCGGAGACTTTCAGTTGTTACGTAAGCCAAAAATTAAATCTGCAGTAAAACCTGAAACTAATTATTAAGACAAAAGACCAACGTAACGACCCAAATTTGTTGTAGCAATAGTTTTGAGAAGCAAACCTTGGGAATCTTTTGTATTAACTTTTTATCTTCCTATTGCCTTCTAAAAACAAGAGCTCTAAAATTTTGAATTTAAAATGTTATGCTGAATTAACGGCTAAACAATTAACTTTACATCTATTTATTCTTGTGTTCTCTCTTAAACAAATTTAGCTCGCTCGTTTTGAGTTCATCTAAAAAGTAAAAAGTATGTACCTACTTATTTTAGTCAGCAGGCTAATTCTAATTCCTTAGTCCCTTAGAGAACCAAAGCCTAATTGAAGTTATTTCAATGACGTTTCCCTTTGATGTGGCTAAGCAATTTTTTGCTGACTAAATAAAGCAAAGTAAAGTTGATAAGCGATCTGCTTGGCAGAGCTTTTAGTCCTAGATTTATTTCCGGCCACTATTGGCTTTCGTAAACGGGATATTTCCATGCACTTGATTGGCCAACATGCAAAACGCTGGAATTATTCGCCGATCATTTAAAAACATTTTAATTGGCCTCGTCTGAAAATTCTTTCCAGTCGCATATGCTATTCGTTGATAAGCTGAGCGGATTAATCAGAAACTGCAAACAGGTAAAGCCGCAAACGAACTATACTTTTTATTTCTAAAGTACATACATTGCAGCTTTAATCATGTTTATTTTTTACGTTACATTTGATGTGAACTATCCAGTAGTTTGGTTGTAACACAGTCAACTCAAATAGCTTAATTAGCTACAATAATCATTTAATAAATAATAAACTAGAATCAATAAATATATACATTTTTCGGTTTGCTAGAATTATCCACTAGAAGCTATAAAATTAAAATCAACTTCGGTAATGTAAATCCATTATTTTATAGTGGCATTTCTAATGCAAAAGTTTTCTTTCGACATAAAACACATTATTGTGTAATTTGATCATACATTTATAGAAAATTTGTTTACTTTGAATATTTTCACGCCAGATTTGAACAAACCAGCATTTGTTTAATTGGAGCTATTTTTATCTTTATAAATCATCAGTCGGTTTATTTTATAAATCAACACTTCGGGAGCCAAGTGCTTTATTTTTGCTATCGCTATTAATTCATTCACGTGCGAAATCTATTCGACACTAAACATTTTGTCCTCAATTTTATTGATTAATTTGAACGTTTGCTTTTTAAAGCAATGTATTTCCAAATTAATAAAAACAATACAGATTTTACTTGTAACCGAACCTTAACTATGACTTAAGACTGAGACTGCCTGAAACTCAATTCTAATGACTTCTGACCAAACATCTAATGACTGAACCACGACTGAACGTTTGTTTTTTCTGTGGCTTCTTTTATAGTAGTTCTCATGCTCATCATAGCAGAAACGATACTACGTCTTATATAGAAAATAGTCGGCATAAGTGAAATTTCTCATGATGTTGTTTGAGCGGTAATAAATTTCTAAGGGCGTATCAGTGTATGGATAACTGCATGAAGAGTGTTTTTTCACATTTGCAATGTATTGTAGTGCAATTCATCGTAATGTGTCGAATGTTCTAGGTAGAAAAATTTGTAAATAAAGCACATTGTGAGTTATTAGATTTACTATTAAGTTTATTAATTAACTTGGATAAGATAAATTCTACGAACCAGCTTTAAAGATATGTACTTTAAATTGTTCTGAGCCGGACATATTTTTTCCAGACATTTACCCATTTTCATGCGTTTTGTTTGTTTTACCGTTTTTAGAATTCTTTTATTTTGTCATTCAGTTGATTTGAGCTGGAACTCATTACGTCATACGAACACTTCTACTTGGTAGATTTGTACAAATATGAAGTATACGGTTGTTTCCTTATCAATAAATCACACAATCTGTGGTAGAAAGCAATTTTTTTTCTCACGAGTCTTATTTCATCCCATAAATGTCTGAAAGATTTGCTATTTGAAATAATTATGAACTCGGTAATTATAATTTTTTTATTAATATGTATTACTAAATATTTGAGATACTTTTGATACTATTTATTAAAAATAGCTTGTGTAAATTGAACCCGGTTTCTTTTACTCTGTAGGTATGCTTAAAATATATTGGAATATTTGAAAGGTATTTGAGTATAGGTATATTCGTGTGATTTTTTTTTGTAAAAGTACCTATAACACTTCAATTATGGCAAAGTTTTTCAGCTTTGCAAATAGACATTTTGAATTTCGTCTTTCAAATACTTCTGCACAAAATGAAAACAGCCCATCAAACGTTTTGATTCTTCTAATTTGAAGCAGATTGCTAATGTAAATTGCGCTTTATCATGTCCAGTAATTTCCGCACTCCCATGCACACGTAAGTTTTAAATTTATTTAAAATTTAGAACATCATGTTTTGTTTTAGAAATGCAATTTTCAGCCTGATTATATAAAGACTTCTTCATTTTATAACATTTGCCTTCAAAAGTAGCACTACAATTCTACTACTATAAATAAACTAAAATAAACGGTAATATTTCGTACCTTCATAATTCAGCCTAAAACTATAATAATATAATTTTTTTTCCTGACTGCGTGTACTTGTTATGATATTCCTATCTTTCCCTCAGTCAGTTTTCCCTCAAAAACTGATGAATGTTTTAACACTTTGTAAATTATAGTTTTTATACAACATGTTTTAATTGTGAATTGGTGTTGTAGTCTGTGTAAAATTTTAAATCTGATGATGGCGCTGTTGTCTCACCGAAACGTAATGAAATAAACATGTTTGACAACACATAAACAATGTTTCAAAATTTTTACTTCACACTTTGACTGAGACCCAGGGAATATAGGAATATCATATAATAATAAAGACAATAATTTCGTCGGTTATATTCGAGCAAGAAATCATATAAAATAGTGCAAGGTTGACGAACTTCGAAGCTTCCACTACCTTACATAATTATAAATATACAAGGTGTCCCGTAAGCACATGATCAAAAGGGTACTGCGATATTCTTTGGATCAAAAGAAGACGATCTGCCCTAACTTTTATTAACAAAAAAATGTTCTGACGTTCCTTTGAAATTGATGGTCAAACTTCTTGAAAAAAATTATCTTTTTTTGAAATATCGAGAGATTGGTAAGATATATTTTGGTGAAACTCGCTGCGAATTTGTTCTTCTGTAAGACTCATATTTTGATGAAACAATAGAATATATCCGTTTTGGGCAAGTGGTGAATTCTTGAGTGTCCTGGTACAAAAACTACCAGAACTTTTTATTTGGTGGATCGAATCAGCTCATTTTTTTTGGTTCATGCACTAATCATTTATTCACAATTTTGTACTCTCTATAAAATCTTGTAGCATTCATTCATAATTTACCACCTGTCCAAAACGGATAAACACGACTGTTTCACCAAAATATGTCTTACATAAGAACAAATTCACAGTGAGTTTAACCAAAACACATCGTACCATTCTCCCGATATTTCAAAAAAGATAAATTTTTTTAAGGACTTTCACCATTAACAGCAAAGGAGCCAGACATTTTTTCAGATCGCATTCTTTTGATGCAAATAATATCGCAATATCCTTTTGATCATGTGCTTATGGGACACCCTGCATATAAATAAACAATATGCTTTGAATTAATTTAATTATGGAAATTAAGCTAATAATTGTTTCTGGAAAGCAGCAAATGTGTTTCGTAATTTAACATATTTATTGTTATGCTTTCTTAAGGGGAGAAACGAGGACACCATAAATTGTTATTCTTATCTATCAATATTTTACGTTTATCTGGATTGAAAAATTATCACGAATGTTCTGAAATAGTAAAGTACGCAAGTTGGCCATTATTTAACCTATCTCGTAACCACTAACCGTGATTTTTTTACCATTAAAGAAAGTGTACACATTTTTACGCATTTTCACCTAGTGATACAACACTGGAATATTTAAATGTGAGAAAATCTTTAACTGATTCAAAAGTTTATTGATACGAATTCGACTAAATTTAATACACAAATTTTCTGTACGATATCGTATCTGGAAGTTGAAAGGTATCAAATTATGTACTAAAGTGTGAATATACGACCTTTTATAAAGACATG